CCAATTCCAATTGATGCAGATGATCAACAATATATACCAAATAGACTTCACCAAATGGCAAATAATAATAGCAATAATAATAATAATAGCAATGGCAATAATAGTAATAATCATTCACCCCACTCATCCAACTTAATTGTTTTACCCAAAAACAGCTCTTCTAATAACCTAAACAATGGTGTTCCATCGCCCTCAGTATCAAATAATTCGACTGCAGCGCAAAATAACAGCAATAGTATTAATAACAATAACAATAATAGCAATAATAACAATGGTAATAACAATAATAATAATAATAGCAACTATAACAATTTATCAAACCAATCTTCAAATAGAGGAAGAAAAAGAACTCAACCAGTAGAAGAAAAACAAAAAAATCAACCAACCCCAATCCAAACACAACAACATTTATATAATAAAAATAATGAAAAAATATTTTTGCAATACACTGTTGGAAACCAAACTGCATCAACGCCTCTACAAAACTATCAACAACTAAACAGTAACAACACAAACAATATACACCCAATGTTTTCATCTCAAATACCAGGTAATAACAATAACTCAAGCAGCTCCAATTCCAACTCTGGTAGCTTAAACAACTCAAATCATAGCCAATCCTACTCTAATCTTTCAAACTTTAATGGCAACACCAGCAACCCTAATAACTCCAACAACCCCAATAACCCAAATAGCTCCAATAACAACACAAACAACAATAGTAATAATAGTCAATATCATTCCAACCTTTCTCAACAACAATCTTTAAACAACCAACAAGAACAATATGATAATGCAAATGACAATGGAAAGAGAAAGAGAAGCCAAGCTCTTTTTGATTTTAACTGTGCTGACGAAACAAACAATACAGCATCAATTTCATTTAGCTTACGCTCCCTGGTAACTAAAATTGAAAGAATGGAAAGAGAAAGAGAAATATTAATAAACGAAAATAAAAAACTAAGAAAAGAATTACAAGAACTTGAAAATTTAGGTGCCAAAGCAACAACATCGCTCACCCAACTAATGGAAGATACCTCAAGACTTAAGAATAGTAAAGAACTATTGGCAAATAGAAACCAACTCCTCCAACAAACAAATGAAATAATTCAAAATCAATTAAAAACTTTACTATCCTGTTGCTCACCTACTCATTAAAAGCAATACAATAAAATAATACATACTTTGTACAAATAAAACTATAAACATAAAACAATAAATAAAAATGTAATAAATAAAAAAAACTTAAAATTAAAATTTTAAAATCAAAAATATATTTAATTGTATATTTATTATTTTTTTGATGGGGTTTTCTTTTTTCTTGAACTAGCTTGATCATTTATAGATTTTTGTAATTTTTCATGAGCAACCACGTTCTTTTTTGCATCGGCATGTTGCTTGAACCAATCCTCTCTTGCCTTTGCCTTTGCTCTATCACCACATCCATGAATTTCATATAGGAAATGCTGAGTGCAAAACTTATGGGAACAAAATTGACATACCCTACCCAATACTTCTACATTTTTACCACAATTTTTAAATCCACAAATACTAAGATTAACTTCTTTAATTTGGATGGCCTCAAATTCTTTTAATAATTGATCAGCTGATTTTTTCTCTACAGGTTTCTTTTTAGATGATTCTGTTGGTTTTGATGGTTGGTTATTAGTGGTAGCTGGCTTCTTTGATTTCTTTTTCTTTTTCTTTGATTTATTTACTGGGCCTGCTGTTGTGGTTTTTGTTGTACCATCTTCTTCCTCATCACCTTCCTCTTGATAATCCTCTTCATTGTCCTGTTCATTATCACTATCATCTTTGCTATCTGTTTGTTGCTGTTGTTGTTGAAGTTGTTTTGGTTTTTTCGAAATTGTTATTATTCTATTCTCACCTTCGCCTATACTTTCATGATTTAGTTTATATTTCTCTGCTAACTCGTGCACAACCAATCTTTCCAATGACGAAAGTGTTGATGGGAAACTATGTGATGGTAATGATGAATTTATAAATGTATTTACAATTGAATCTAAATGAGCTATTAATTTCTCTTTTTCTTTTATATTTATATTTTGATCTTTCATATGTTGTTTTTCTTTATCATCCTGTTGTTTTTTATTCTTTTTTTCTCTATATAATTCAGCTTTTGATTTTTTACCTAAATCGTGTTGCTTTTTAGATTCGTCCTTGTTTTCCGATGTGATGTTATTATCATCTTGATCACCTTTTAGATTTTCATCCCATATATCATCGTCGCTTGCAAGAAACTCTGGCTCTGTATACTCTAAAGCTGATCTAAATAACCCATTTTCTCTAAAATAATTTACCATTCTTTTCAAAGGTTCGTGTGATGAGACTGTATCGATATCACAAACAACGGTAACATGTTTTCTAGCACGAGTAATAGCTACATTTGTTCTTCTATCTTCTGAAAGGAAACCAACTTTGTGTGGAGCAAAACTATTTGAACGGACCATAGATATAATAATTACATCTTTTTCTCTACCTTGAAAACCATCAACTGTGCCAATTTCCATCTTTGGGTAAGACTTTGAAAGATGAGATTTTAATAGCTTAACTTGACCATTATAAGGTGTGATAACACCAATGTTATTTGGTGATACATTACACTCAACCAATTTTTCGATATGTCTTTTTACTACTGAAACTTCACCTTGATTAAACTTGGACTCACCCTCATCATCTTGACTCTCTTCCATATCACAACCGCTTGTATCAATTAATAACAATGGGGAGGTTGTAGTTAATGTGCTTCTTATTTTATCACCATTGCTTACCAACAAGTGATTGGCTACTGAACTATCGGCAATCATTTTAGATTCATAAAATTCCTTTGATGACCATTCCATAATTCTACGATTCATACGATATTGAACATTTAATAATCTTGAAACTTGATCGCCATATGTTTTAATAATACGTTCAAACAATGTCACTGATAAACCCTTATTTGCAGCCTCCATAGAGTGAATAGTTGGTGGTAATTGTTGATGATCACCAGCTAATAATAATTTGTAACCTTTTTGAATTGGTATCCAACAACTTGCCTCCAATGCTTGAGCAGATTCATCAATTACTACCCAATCGAAATCATCATTACCTCTTATAGATGAATCTGATGCACCAGTATTTGTAGATAAAATAATATTTGAACTTTTAATAACCTGTTCAACCAATGATTTTTCACGGTGTCTTAAGTCAATACGTAGCTGTTTAATCTGTGATTGGGTTGATTTTCTTTCTGATGGTAATTTAAAAGTTTTAATTTTCTTTGTTAAATCTGAAATCTCTTGTCTTAAATCTCTAATAACCTGAGCATTTTCACCATTTTTTGTTTTGTGGTCTAATGTGTGCTTTAATAATTGTGGAAGAATTCTAGTTGGATGACCGATTCTAGTTGGATTAATCATTGAACATTGATCTGGATAACGCTGTTTATACTCTAAAAGCTTTTCTAAAATATTGTCCACTGAAAGATTTGATGGGCCACATGCCAATACTCTTTTACCACTCTTTACTAATTGAACTATAAATTCGACTACTGTTGTTGTTTTACCAGTACCTGGGGGACCATGAATCAAAGCTAAATCGTTTGATGACAATGAGAATTTAATTGCATCCAGTTGTGATTGGTTTAATGATTGTGAAATTGGTTTAAATGATTTTATGATTGCTGAATGATCATTGAATGTTGGTTTTGCTCCATTGAATAATATATCTACGACCCTATTATCACTGTATTGGCCACTTTCACCATGGTAACTAGATTTTAACTTTTCCAAAGCCTCCTTTATCTTTTTGTAGGTTACATCATTGGCGAGCTTATCGATTGCAAATAACATTGAATCATATTGATCGTCTAATAATGCACTTGCACTTAACTGTCCCTCCTTATCTGATGAATCTAGATCATCCACAGCCACAACCAACTTTAAAGAGTCTACTTTATATACAACACCAGTTACCAAATGATTTGTACCCGGTTTAGACTTTGAACCTCTAATACCAACTATATCACCCGGGGTAAATTTATGTGGTGGTAATTCATTTGGTAAACGGTCATCATTATTTGTATTATTTGCACCACTATTATCTTTATTTGCATTATTGGTTGAAGAATTTGTGTATTCTGGTGGAACAAACTTTAACAATGATCTACCTCCTAAACCACTAGAAATCGAATCGATTCTAACCTTTTTAATTGTTACACCTTTTAATTCTAATTGTTTATTCGATAATGTTGAAAAATTTTCAATCGATTCATTTACTTCTGATTCTTTTTCAATATCAAGTAATTCTAATGTATTTTTAATATAATTTTCCATTTTTAAAAAAAAAATAAAAAATAAAACAATAAAAAAATAATAAAATAAAAAACTATGCACAATTATTATTTACTTATTTATTTATTTATTTAATTTGATCCAAAAATGAAAATAAAAAAATTAAATTAAAAAAAAATTAAAAAATATTTTAAAAAAAAAATTTTTAAAAATTTATATGAGTAAATTCATGGAATTGGTAATTTTAATTTGGTATAAAGTCCAAACTTGTTGTTTATATTAATAGATATGGTGTTTATTTTTATCTTTATTAATTTATTACTTTTTTTTTTTTGATGATTTTATTTTAAGAGGTTCACTAAACCACTACATTTTAAAAAAAAATTTGGATTCTTTTTTTTTTTTTTTTTTCTTTGTTTTTTTTTTTTTTTTTTTTTTTTCTTTGATTTACAAAAAAGAAATATCCCCCTACTATTTTTTTTTATTTTTTATTATTTTTTTTTTTTTTTTATTTTTTTTTTTTCGAAAAATTAAAAAAAAATTATAAAATTTAAAAAATAAAAATAAAAAAAAAAATTAATTTTTTAAAACGAATCTACGTAGATGAGTCACATCCACAAATAAATAATTAAATTTAAGTTATTAATATAACAAATATTTAATTATATATCATATTACTACACATATGTTATGTTTATCTCAATATTACATAATATAGTTAAACAATAATCATAAAGAAATTATATATTTTCTTTAAGGACAAACTAAATAGAAATAATATTTTATAACATTTATAAAATCAAATAATTGTACCTTTACTTTTCTCCATTTATAATAAAACAAATATAGTAATATTAATAATAACAACAATAACAATAACAATAATAATATTATAATATTACTACTCCCACAACATAAACCCCACCCCCTAAAATAAAAAACTATAAATATAAATAAAAATAAATAAATATAAATAAAATGTATAGAATACTAGGATATTTAATATATAATATAACATTTCGACTATTTGTATTAATAAAAATTTTAAATTTTTATTATCAATTGATTAGTTATAAAATTAGAAATATAATTTCACAATTTTTTATGTATTTATATATTAAATCACCCAAAGACTATATAGAATTTATAAACTCTAGTATAATAATAAATAATAATAATAATAATAATAATAATAGTAAAAATCATAATAATAATGATGATAACACAAAAATACCAAAACATTTGGCACTCATTTTAAATCATAAAGATCAAAGCAAATCTATTCAAAGCAACCAAGACACTTTAAGCTTTTACAATAAACTATCTGAAATTATAATATGGTCTCATATAATTGGTGTTAATAGAATTACAATTTTAGATAACCACGGTTCTTTAAAAAAGAATATCTCAACATTTCAAAATATTTTAGATAACAATATAAAACCATTTAATAATTTTAACAATGATATAATATATAGCTTCAAATGGTTAAACAATAATAAAAATATCAATAGTGATAATGATAATAATAATAATAATGATATCAATAAAAACAACAAAATAAAGAACAGAGTTTTAACATTAAGTGTTGCTACTGTAGATGATGGAAAACAGGAATTAATCAATATTACCAAAAAGTATATTAAGCAATCCAAAACCAATCAAAATTTAGAATTAAATGAATCTTTTGTAAATTCAAACTTACCAAGTATGTTATCAACTATCATCATCACCTATTTGTAGTAGTAGTAGTAGTTTTAAGTGTCTAATATTCATTTATTTTCTTATATTTATATAGATTATATTGGCGGTATTAATTTTGAACCCGAAGTAGCATTAGATTTTAGTGACAAACAATTATTTTCAGGATTCCTTCCATGGCATGTTAAATTAACAGAGTTTATGTAAATATAATAATACCACCATTTCATATCTATTCAATGGTTCAAACGAAATTCAATATACTAACATAAAATCTATCCTCTTTCTATACACCATAGTAAAGTAGACCATTTTCATCAATTTTATTTTGAAAGATATTGTCAGTTTTTAAAAAGATATGGTAATATTAAAAAAAGATGTGGAAAGTAAACAGAGCCCTTATGTTACATACAAACTATCAAAAGAGCATATTATTTAACAACTATAATAATAAAATAAAAAAACTTTTAAATTGAAATTAAAAAACTACAAAAAAAAAAATAATAATTGTTATGTTTTATGTTTATTTTTTATTTATTTAAAGAAGGCAGTACGATAAAATTTTAACTCTTCAATACTTTCTTCGATATCTTTTAAAGCACGATGACTACCTTCTTTTTTAGGTGCTTTTTTTAATTCTGTGGGGTACCATCTTCTTGCCAATTCCTTAATGGAAGATACATCTATAATTCTGTAGTGTAAATGGTTGTTAAATAATGGCATCTCCTTCTCTAAGAATTTTCTATCTTGATAAACTGAATTACCTGCCAATGGTGCCTGCTCTTTACCAACATGTTTTTCAATAAAATTAAACATTTCCAATTGTGCTTCTTCAATTGTTATTTTTGAGTTTTTGACTCTATCTGTTAAACCTGACTAAAAAATAAAATAGTAATATTTATTAGAATATGATATTCTTTATAGCTTTACCTTTTTTTTTTTTTTTTTTTTGTTTTTTTTTTTTTAATATTATACTTACTTTACCATGATGATCAATGCACCATGAATTCATTGATTCTAAAACCTCATTAGATCTGTGAATTACGAGTTCTGGTCCTTTCTCAATAATATTTAATTCTGAATCAGTAATAATACAAGCCATTTCCAATATACAATCTTTGGTAATATCCAAACCTGTCATTTCTAAATCCACCCAAACTATTCTTTGGCTACGGTCATCTAATGGTTGTTTATTTGACATTCTATTAAAAATATATTTAAAAATATTATTATTATTATTATTCAATAATTTAAAATTTCCTCTATTTATTAATTTAATCATAACAATTGAATTATGATTTTCCAAAAAACTAACTTTAATACGATTTACAAAATTTGAATTCCAAATATTTATTTATTTATTTATGAAAAAAAAAAAAATTAAATTTTTAAAATTTTAAAAAAAAAAAAAAATAAATAAAAAAAAAAAAAACAAAACAAAACAAAATTTAAAAAAGTTATAATTATTTTATTTATTTCTTAGCATTTTTTGCAACATTGTTTTAAATTTTATCATTATTATTTCATATGTTTGATAAATTTAACAAAAAAAAAAAAAAAATGTCAAAAAAAAAAAATTTTAATTTCAAAAAAAAAAAAAAAAAAAAAAACGACAAGTAATATATCACATAAATAAGATTACAAAAAATAAAATAGGGAATAGGAAATAGAAACAAAAATAATAAAAAATTAATAAAAAAAAAATAGAAAAAAAAAAGAAAAAAAGATAATTTTGTATTAAACATAATATATGAATATAAATAAATAATTATAACCAATCAATTTATTTATTTATTTATTTATAACTAAAATTAATTAATCATGATGGTTAAAATTTTTTAAAAAATAAAAATAAAAATAAAAAAGACATAATAAACTATAATTATAACATTTAAATTTTAATTAAAAATAACCAAAAAAAGTTTTTTTTTTTTTTCTCATATAATCATTTTACACAGGTTTTACATACAGGCATTTTTGTTTATGTAAAAATTTCTCAAGAGAAAAAATCACTAAATTTTTTTTCGCTCAATTTTTTTTTTTTTTTTTTTTTTTAAAAAAATTTTAATTTTTTTTTTTTTTTTTTCTTTTTTTTTCTTTCCTTTTATTTTACAACGTATAGTAACATATATAACACACAATGGGTACATAGACTATCTTACTTTTTTGATTTTTTTTTTTAAAAAAAATATAAACATAAATTCAACACACAAATGAAAAAGAATGAAGAGTAAATAAATAGGACATAATTGATTAAGGAAAAAAAAAAAAGATGGTTGTCAAATAGAAATAAATAAAAAATTACGAAAAAAAAAAAAAAAAAAAAACGAGTGGAAAAAAAAAAATTGTAGCTTTCAAAAAAAATAAATACAGGAAAAAAAAAAATTATTATTATAAATCATAAACCAACCACAGAATGGGATTTTAGAGGATCATCAAAAACAGCATTATTTTTTTTTTCGAAGCTAATCAAATCAATGTCTATTATTTATTTACACCAAAATTTCAATTTGTTCATTCATTATCAAAAAAAAGAAATTGATGTTTATAATTTTTTTAAAAAAAAATAATAAAGGAAAAAAGAAATAATTTATTAACTCTATTTATTTTTTTGACGGATTATAGGTAAAGTTCATGGTGGTTTAAATCGTGCTGGTAAAGTCAGAAACGCTACTCCAAAGAAAGACAAAGAAGAAAAAAGAAAACCAAAAGTTGGTCGTGCTAAAAAGAGAATGTTATACAACAGACGTTACGTCAACGTTGTCGTTGGTTTCGGTAAAAAGAAAGGTTACAACACCCAAAACGTCCCACACGTTGCCTAAACAATTTATTTTTAATAACAATAATATTTAATTAAAATAAAATTGTGTGAAACCACAAAAAAAAAAAAAAAAAAAAAAAAAACCTTTTTAAGAAAAAAGTCACTCTTTTTATTTAAAAAATTCATATTTTCATTTTTTCCTTATTTATTAGTGTTTTCTATTTGTGTTTTTATACTTTTCGTTTTTCATTATTTTTGTAATTTATAAAAAAAAAAATACGAAAAATATTTGTTTTATAAATATATATAATTTATTTTATTATTTTTTATTTAGATTGCCTCTTCTATTAATCAATAATGGTTTTTTCTTTGTTGATTGATTTTGAGATATTCTATATAAAATAACAGTTACTAAAGCAGCAAATACTAAAATTAGTATACTAAGATTTCTATTAGTGGAGCTAACCTTACTTGATCCTCTTGTGATGGCACAACAAAGTAATTGATTTTCGACGTTGGAAATTTCTTTTTCAACATAATCTAAAAATCCGCTTACTTGGGTGGCAATTAATACTAAATCTTGTGAAATTTTATCTCTTTGGAATCTATTTTTTGTATAATAGTAATTCAAATAGGTGTTAGTGGTGAAATTTATATTTATGATGATGATGTTATATAATTATACTAGTACTTACTTGTTTAACTCTTTATTTATTGATAAAAATGATGGTATTAAAACAATTTGATTTTTAATTTCAAATGTAATTTTATCTAAATCGTCATGTAATCTGGCAACTATTGATTTTAAAATTGGTAATTTGTTTGGTGGTGCGTGATATAATCTATCAATTAAAAAGTTACCATGTGATAAAGAGGTATCTTTTATTTCGAAACCTAAAGAGTCCAAAAGATATTTTTGTGTAAATTCAGATACCCTATCAAAAGCAGACTTTAAATTGATCTCTGATGACTGAACACTGGTGATAATAGTATTTCTTATGATACCATCAATGAAAATTTGAGAGATTCTGCTGTTGTTGGAGCTAAAGAAACCGAATGGATGGTGACCAAATCCCCAAAGGAAATTATTAATTAATCTTCCATGTGCTTCACTGTATTTTATAGTTGGCCCCATTAAACCTTGTGATTCAGCAATGCCAGCTATAATGTTTCTATTGGTAGTGGTTAATGAATTAACTTCGACTTGTTTATTACCTTTATAGAGTGTACTATTAAATGAATGATTGGTTTGTAATACAACAATTGCATCTTGGTCACTATGGTTTAAAATAATAGGGAGTTAGTAATTACAATCATTATAAAATTTTAATAGTTTAATAATAAAGATAACAATATTACCTTGAATGTAAATAATATTTATCTAATAATAAATTCGATGGTGACTTTAATAATGAAAACATATAAATTGGTAAAATTTTTGATTTTTGAGAAGGTGTATTTCTTTTTGATTTTTGTAAACTCTCTGGAATTTGAGTGGTTTCAGATCCAATGAGACCAGCGGCTAAAATGTCATCTTCAGTTTTTAAACGTAATAAAAGTTCTTTACTGTCAATATAGGATTTGATAATGTTTGTAAAAAGTCCAGTCTTTGGATCCATTTCAAAGCTGGTGTGTGATTTAATTGATTTTGAAAATGCCATCGAGATATGTTTATGTTCATGCAATGAATGTTCAGCAACTACAAAATTAACTTCTGAAAATGGGAATAGTCTTTTTGCTTCACTTTTAATTAAATTTAAGTCCATTAGTTGATCTTGAATTTTGATTTCATCAGTATCTTTAAATATTAATATTGGTATTAAAATTTTTTGAAATAATGGTATATAGTCATATTTAGTGTCAAATAAAAATACATTTTGAATACAATTGATGATAATAGTTGAGATATGTGCAGCAATTTCAATCTAAAATTTAATATGGTTATAAAGTAAAAGTAAGTGAGTATAATGCTCATTTGTGAGTGTGTATGGTGGTATATAGTTTTATTAATATAGTTTTGATTACTTACTGGTGAGGCGCCTTGTAAACTAGTACCACTATAACCTCTACCTAAAAAGTATTCAACTAATCTTGGTATTGAGTCATAGTCAATAGAGCCTTCAGAAATTAGTTCGTCAGAGGATTTGTGTAAAGTTGTACCATATTTCAAAGGACCTGCAGATAAATCTACAACAACAAAACGTCCAGAGCCAACCCAAACTGGTGAAATTACATCTCTGTTATCCATAGTGAATTGATATTTAAATATATTTGAGGGTGTTCTATCTTTTGGGTTTTGAACTTGATATTCTTTCAAAACACGATCTTTATTTGGATTAACAAGTACAACAGTATAGTCACGTGTATTTTTTGGAGTTTTATTAATTTCATTCTCTATAAATGTTTCGATACCTTCAATTGGAACAAGATGGGTTTCACCATCAAATGAAGATTCTTGATTGGTTTCTGATAATGGTTTCATATGAAGTTGTAATAATTGTTCGTACCTTTCTAATGTTTCTTTTGGTGCATTGACAATATTATATTTTAAATCGTAATGAGTTATTAATCTTTTATTTAAAATATTTAAAATATCTTCATTATTGTTATTATTATTATTATTATTATTATTGGTGTTTTCTTCTTCTTCTTCATCATTTTTTAAATAGTTTGATTTTTCGATTGAATGTGAATAATGAATTGGATATGATTCTGTTAATATTTGATAGAGTGAATCTGGTGGCAAACTATATTCGTATGCGCCATTAGAGTCAAAACCAATTAATATAACTTGAATATTTGTAGGCATTCCACCAGGTTCTTCCGCAATTTTATCTTCTATTATATCACCATATACTTTTTGTCCATTATTAAAGTATATTTTAAAAAATACTATGGTAATAATAAATATAAAATTTAAAATTTTCATTTTAAATTAAAATATTGTTTATATTGTTATTTTTGCTATTTAATGTTATAATTGTATTTTAATATTTTTATTTTTATTTATATAATTGTGATGATCATTATTTTATGAAAATAAATTAAAAAAAAAATTAAAAAAAAATTAAAAAAAATTAAAAAAAAAATATTTTTTTTTAAAATAAAATAAAATTAATACAATTATATGATTGTATTACCAAAATAGTCAATCTTTTTAGTGATTTATTTATATTTAAGTTTGCTGTTATGTTTTTTGATTAGTTTAATAAACTGGTAGTACATGGGGTCTAAATTATCAAGGAATTTTGTACTTGTGTCAATTGTAACTTCAATTACCTTCAAGCTGTAAAAGTTGTATGTTTTAGTTTCACCCACATCGCCATTTTCATCATCGTTATTTTGAAGTGTTGTAATTGTGGTTTGAAGTGTTGGGTTCGCACCATTGATGATCAGGCATTCCAAATTCTTAAAATAATCTAAATATAAAACCTTGTTAAACTCTTTGCCCAGTTCTAAAGTCTGTATTCTATTGTTTAAAGGTAAGTCTTTTTCTAATATTTCTTGGTTAAATTCAAAGTCAAATATTAGTTTCTTTAAATTTACAAAGTTCTGTAGAGATAGACACGATAGCTGGGCATTGAAGAATACTGGTAGTGCCAATGCTTCTAATTGTTCTGGGGTATGTTCAAATTGCTTTATGTATCTGTTTATGTTTTCGCATTTAATAAGGGTCTTTGGGTTATTTGACAACACTATTGGGTGTTCATAGTTTGAATTTTTTATTACAAGTAGTTCTACACTGGATGGAATCGAATCTGGATGTATAATTTGACTGAAGCAGCACCCGAAAATAACAGTTTTAAGGTTACCAGACCTTGGTAAAACGTTTATACCAATTGGTTGGTTATAAGAAGCGCCAAAGTTAATGTATTTTAACGAGTTTGGGAATATGTTGTCTTCTATAAGAGGGTAACCAGCGTTATCAAATGATGCAAAGGTACTTTGGAAATTAAGATTTACGAGACCTTTCGGTAGAAGCCATGGTAGCAATCTTTCATTGCAATTACGAAATGATAAGCTTTTCAAACATTTTGGAAGAATTGAAATACCAAATTTATCAATGATGGGTGTGTTATTACCGAGTACGAGTGATGTTATGTTGCTTGTAATTAGTTTGTGTGATAGTTGTTGGTAATGGTATATCTGGTCATTTATTATTAGCGTCGAAATTGAAAGGTGTTCGAGGGATGATGGCAGTGCATTCTCTTTAATAAACGATCTATAGACCCTTAGTGTCAATATCTTTAGCGTTGGTGGCAGTTTGAAGTTAAGCTCTTTGCACTTGATGTTTAAAGAGGTCAAGGATGGTGGCAATTCAAAGTCATTTGGAAGTTCCAGGTCGAAAATACTGTCAAAGTTTAGGGTAAGCAAGCCTTTGGGTAAAAATCCTCTCTTGATTGGGAATTGGTCATTTATAATTTGTAAATGAAAGGTAAGCTCCAGCAACGAGTCTGGTAAAGAGTTTTCGGTAATTGTGTTGTTATTTCTGACGCTGTACGAAAACTTTTTTAAATTTTTTGGTAAAACATCTTGAAGTATTTCAAAAGTGTATCCATAGAGCTTTAGGTCTGTAATGGAGGCTGGTAATGTGTTTGGTGGGATCTCTATAGTGCATTCGTTACCGTAAATACAAAGAGTATGAAGATTGTAGGCATCCTTCAAAATGGACTGGTCGTAATACGATGGTATATGAATAAGTTGTATCCAGCTGGGTATTTTGGCATTAGTTCGGACCATGTCTTTCTTGATGCTGTTATCGATAATTACTTGGCTTAGATATTCCTTGTTTTTGAATTTCAGCAACGACTCTACCGAGTCAAATGTTCTGATGCCAAAAAATATGTTGTAAACCTTCAAATAGTATAGTATTAACTTCCTTAAATAAATATTTTTCCACACTAAATTAAAATATTTATTTAATTTATTTTGATAATTATTTTCATCTTCGAAATTTTCTCTTTTTCTTTTTAATATAATTGGTTGTTCCTTTTCTATATTGTTGTTCATTTCTTTTAAATATATAAGTTTTTTTTTTTTTTATAATTACAATATTTTTTTTTTTTTTTATCATAAAATAATTTATAATAAAAAAAAAATCAAAATTATAATTACTTATTATATATATAAATTTATAATAAAAAAAAAAAATTAAAAAAATAAACACAAAAAAACCACCACCATTATAATATTAATTTAATTTAAATTTAAATATTGTTTTTTTTTTTTTCTTTATTTTAATATTTAAATTTATTTTTAAATCGATTAAATAGGTAAAAATGGACAAAAGAAAAGTGTTGAATATATTAAATCATTAAAAATTACAATATTACAAAAATTGTTAGGGTTAAGTTGATAAACTTCAATTTCATATTGACCACGACATATATACACAAAAAAGTAAGAAGTTAAAATATCAAGATCTTTAGTTTTAATTTTTTTTTTTATTTTTATTTTTTTTATTTTTATTGTGATTTTATTTTTTTTATATTTTTTTTAAAAACAAGATTTTTTTTTATTTTATTAAAAATAAAAATAAAAATATAAAAATATAAAAATATAAAAATAAAATAAATAAATATGGAAATATTAATTATATCAGGTTTATTAATTATTTATATTTATTTTTATTTATTACATTTTCTTCCTGGTAAAGGAGGTATTTTTATACCAATAGGGGGTTTTAAAAAGTATAATGGGTTGGTGTCTAAAGAACATTCAATACTGTATAGGATTTCTACTGGTTATTTTTCAGCTAAATTAAGAAAAGAGTCTAAAAAAAAGGGTGTAAAGTTGTATTATTCCACCGGTTTGATAAAGCCATTGTCAATACTTGATTTTAAAAAGAGCGCTCCACCAAAAACAAGTAAATTTTCATCAAGTGGCCATTTCCTACTGATTACCTCGAGTAGTGCGGAGCCAATTGCGTACAGTATAGATACATTTATTGGATACAGCGATGCCTATGAAATTAATACTGGTGTTACTTTTATTTCAATTTTCGTGTCATTACTATTGTCTTTAATCTTTAATAGCTTCTTAAACGTTTATTTTTCTTTGGTTCCTGTTATATTGTTGGCTTTCTATTTTAGGTATGAAACACAATTATTAAATTAAAAAAAAAAAAAAAAAAAATAATATAAAATAAAATAAAATAATTAAAATTTATTTAATTAATTTAAAAAAAATATTTTTTTTTTTTTTTTTTTTTTTTTTTTTTTTATAAATAATTTTTTTTTTTTTTAAATTTAAAATTTATTTTAAATTGTATAAATTTCATAAATGACAGAAATAAATAATAATAATAATATAGATATAGAAAATAAAGATATAGATAATAATATAGATAATAATGAAGAAAAAAAACCGAATTGTTTATTTAAAAAACCAACCAAACAAAGAAATAATATAAGAAAAAGATCTGATGATCAAATGTTAAATAATAATAATAATAATAACACTGATAAAGAAGAAGAGAAAACAGAAGAAGAGGATAGCGATAAAAATAATAAAAAAAAAGTTAAAATTAATCAATATACAACAAAACAAGAAAAAAAGAATGAATTTTCATTTGGATCAACAGGTGTTGCAGGGTCATCAATTAATTCAGCGGAATTATCAACAACAGAGTATCATAATGAAGAGGATGAATATGAAAACACTGTTTTATCATCAAGAGGTTTGAAAAGAGAAGATATTGAAAAGCAAAAACAAGCAACCAATGATGATGGAATTTATCGTGGTATGGGTTCCTATTCAACATTTACAGAAAAGAAATCTGATCTTTCTTATAAAGGTGGTGGTGTTAAAGCTGGCCCATTAAAAACTATAGCAAACGTTAGACTATCAAGTAGAATCGATTATCAACCAGATGTATGTAAAGATTATAAACAAACTGGCCAATGTACTTTTGGTGATGCATGTAAATTTTTACATGATCGTACTGATTACAAATCAGGTTGGCAAATTGACAGAGAATGGGAAGAAGAACAAAAGACAAAAAAATCAGGTAAAGATACTTCATCATCATCAACTACAGCAACATCGACTGCTGATGAGTTGCCATTTGCTTGTTTTATTTGTAAAAATCAATACGATAACCCAGTAATGACTAAATGTAAACATTTCTTTTGTGAAAAATGTGCATTGGATCAAAATAAAAAAAATAAAAAATGTGCATTATGTGGTGAGCCAACTCAAGGTGTTTTCTCTCAACCAAAAAAAACAATCGACAAATTAATGGAGGTTTCAAAAGCACATTTTAATAATTTAAATAAATAATATAGATAAATTTATTACAGAAATTTATACAATTAAATAAAATAAATAATAATTATAATAAAAATAGTAATAATAACAATAACATTAATAATACTAATGATATAATAGTGATATATAAAGTTAATATAACAACATTATTTTTTTTAAGTTAATTAATTTGATATAGTTTCACTAGATTGAAACTGTGAGTTTATTTTTTTTTTTTTGATTAATTAATTCTTTTTCATTTTATATTTCATATATGGTTAAAATAAATATATAGGACATATATAATAAAAGGATTACTAAAAGAGTAGATCTTTATTTAAAAATTGTTTTAATAAAGTATACAGAAAAAATAAAAATATTATTAGATATTATGGAAAAATAAAATTGAAAATTATTGCTTATGTCATTTAAAAATTCCCATCAACCACAGTCCATTTTTTTTTTTTTTATAGATTATTTTTTATCTTTTTATAACAAAAGATATGATTGTTGGGAGATATAGTAAAAAATATAATTATTATTATTATTATTATTATTATTATTATTATTATTATTATTATTATTATTATTGTTATTATTATTATTATTGTTATTTTTTTATTTTTTTTTTTTTATTTTAATATTTTAATATTTTTTCATTGTTTATATATTCTTCTTTTAATAAATTTAATCAAAATATTTCTTTATTTTTTTATTTTTTTATTTTTTTATTTCAGAAATTAATTATTTAATTTGTAATAATATTGAAATTTTAAATGGCCCAATCATCAATAACATCAAAACATACCCTTCATTCAATTTTCATTGAAGCAAACGTTAAATTAATTTTTTCAAATGATTTAATTCTTTTTAAAGGTGCAACAAAAAAATTTCAAGACCAATTAGATCAAATGAATGTACAATACCCAGATTCATATGTAACAGGTTCTTTATGTTTCTCTATTGATGCATGGAAAAAAGTAACACATATCTCAGTTCCAAGTGACCTTAAATCAGTAAATACACTTTCATTTTTACCAAATGCTAATCAAAGAGATTTTTTTATTCACATTTCCTCCGATCGTTTTGATGTTGCTTTTCAGTTAACACAAGATACAATCAAAAATTTTGGGAATACCATTAGAATCGAGCAAGAGGTACATGGGTTTAGAAGAATAGAAAGCCGTGATTTAAGTGGTTTTATCGATGGTACTGGAAATCCACAAACTGATGTTGATAGAGAAAATACCACACTCATACCACAGGGGCAACCCCATGAAAATGGAAGTTATGTTTTTGCACAACGTTGGATACATCATTTAGAAAATTGGGAACAACAATCAGTGCAATATCAACAAGATACCATAGGAAAAGTAAAAAAAGATAGTGGTTTCATTCCACCAGCCAATCGTCCTGCTAATTCACATGTATCAAGAGTTGGAATTGTTGAAAATGGCACAAGGTTGAAGATATTAAGACAATCTCTTCCATATGGTTTAGCATCTGGTAATTTTATAGATTCAATTATCACACTTAATTTATTTAAAATTTAACTTACAAATTTAATATTTTTATTTTTAGGTGAAAAAGGTTTGTTTTTTGTTGCTTTTACAAATAAATTCCATAATATTGAAGTAATGTTAAAATCAATGTTTGGTAAAACTGATGGTAAACAGGATTTAATATTAAGATTCACTGTGCCAAGTAGTGGGAGTATATACTATGCCCCTTCAAAAGAAGAGTTGTATAATTTATAAATTTAAATAAATTATTTATAATTTTTATCTGCTTTTTTTTGAAATATTTCTATATATTTATTAATTATTTGTTAAATTTTAACAATATAAAAATATATTATTATTTCTTTAAAAATATAATATTACCCCACCCCATAAAAATTTTTTTAATTTTTATCATTATTTTATCTAGTTTTTATTTTTAATTTTTTAGGTTAAAAGACATTAATAATCTTTTCTATAAATATCAAATAAGAATCAATGAATTTGGATCTTTTTCTTTTTTAATAAACCTCATATTATCAGAGGGAGTTATTTTATATTGTATTGGAATTTAAAATATAAAATAAATAAAAATATTTCTTTCCTTCTAAGGAAAAAAAGAAATATAATTATTTGTGGTGATTAAGATTTTTTTTTTAATATTTTTTTCTCTTTTCCTCATATGATTGGGTTCTTTATTAAAGTATAAATTTCTTTAACAATAAAATATTATAAACCCACATTATATCCCAAAAAATAAAATATTAACTATTTTTAAGATTTTAGATTTTAAAATTGAATACAAAAGATTATTATCTTTTAAAATTAAAATTTTTATTTATATTTTATTTTATAATTTTAATTTTTTTTATATTTTTTGTAAAATTTTACACTATTTTAAAATCATTATAAAAACCATTGTTTTTTTTTTTAATTGTTTTTTTTTATAAATTTAAAATATAAAATAATAATTTATAAATTTTATAAAATGGCACAATCATCAGTTTTATCAAAACATGTTGATTATTCAATTTATTACGAAGCAAATATTAAATTAATGGTACCTAATGATTTAATAGTTTTTAAAGGCGCATTAAAAAAATTTCAAGATCAATTAACTTTATTAAATACACAGTTCCCAAGTTCATTTATTACAGGTTCAATTGGTTTTAGTTGCGATGGTTGGAAGAAAGTCACTACAATGCCCCCACCAGTTGGATTGGTTTCAGCAAATACATTTGATTATATTCCAAATACAATACAAAGAGATTTGTTTATACATATATCAGGTGAACAATTTGATGTTGTTTTTAAGGTAGCACAAGATGTTCTCAATTATTTTTCAAATACAATTAAAATTGAACAAGAGGTACATGGGTTTAGAAGAATTGAAGATCGTGATTTAAGTGGATTTATCGACGGAACATTAAATCCATCCATAGATTCAGATAGAATCAAATATGGACTAGTGCCAGAAGGACAGCCACATGAATATGGTAGTTTTGCTTTTATCCAACGTTGGGTTCATCATTTGGAAAGCTGGAACCAGCAATCCGTCCAATACCAACAAGATACAATAGGAAGAATGAAAAAAGATAGTGCTAATATCCCTGTTGACCAACGTCCTGCAAATTCACATGTAACAAGAACACAATTAATAGATGAAGTTGGTGAAAAGGTAAAAATAGTAAGACAATCATTGCCATATGGTTTAGCATCAGGTAAATATTTTAATCATTAAATTATTAAATAACTCAATGAAAATATTTTAATTTTAATAATTTTATTCATTTAAAAAAATAGGTGAAAAGGGATTATTTTTTGTAGGTTTTAGCGGTAGAATACATTATTTACAATTGTTGTTAGAATCAATGTTTGGTAAGCGTGATGGAAAACAAGATCTAATATTAAAATTTACTCTCCCAGTTAGTGGATCTCTCTATTTTGTTCCCTCACTTAATGAGTTACTAAACATGTAACAATAACAACAGAATTCATAATATTATTTGACTATGTAAAATAAAAATAAAAATAAAAATAAAAATTAAGTAAATATGGGGTTTTTAATTTTTTATTTTTCTTTAGTGTTTCTATTTATTTTTTATAAACCATTTTTTATATTTTTTTGTGTTTCTGAATAGATGTGTGGGATTTTAAATTGTTTCTAAAAATAAAATAGTTTTTCGGGGGAGGGGTGAAATAAAACAAATCAAATAATATACATTAAATTGAATTTAGCTGTATTTTTTTTTTTATTATTGTCATTTTTTTGTCATAATGTGGGTGAATTGTTTTCTTAATCTTTGTTAATTTCCACCAAAATGGAAATTAACAACACACTTACCACTATTTAAAGATAAAAGATTTTTCAATTAAAAAAGGAAAATGGGTTTTTTTTTTTTTTTTTTTTTTTTTTTTTTTTTTTTTTTTTTTTTCTTTTTCTTTTATTTAAGTTATTTATTATTTTCTAAATTATCAAATAAAATAGAATTTGTTTTAATTTATTGTTTAATTTTTATATTTTTAATTTGTTTTTTTATGGCGCAATCTTCAGTTTGTTCAAATAATTTTAAACATTCAGTGTTTATTGAAGCAAGTATTAAATTCAAATTTCCAGATGATAAAAAATTATTTAAAGATGCTCTTAAAGGATTCCAAGATGAATTGGATCAATTATCAGTTCGATACCCAGAATCATTTATAACCGGTTCTTTGTGTTTTTCTTGTGATGCTTGGAAAAAAGTTACAGATTTACCAATGCCAGATGAGTTAAAGTCATCTAATACTTTAACTTATATACCCAATGTAAACCAAAGAGAGTTCTTTATTCATATATCTTCTGTAACTTTTGATGTAGCCATTAAATTAGCACAGAATACCCTAAAGAATTTTGGTAGTATTATAAAGGTCGAAGAGGAAATTCATGGCTATAGAAGATGCGAGGAGCGTGATTTTAGTGGTTTTGTAGATGGCACAAATAATCCACAAACAGTACCAGATAAAAGTCAAGTTTCATTAATACCTGCAGGAAAACCACACGAAAATGGCAGCTATGTATTTGTACAACGTTGGGTGCACCACTTGGAAAACTGGGACCATCAATCATTGCAATACCAACAGGATTCAATCGGAAGGTTAAAAAAAGATAGCGGAAGGATACCACTAGAGAAACGTCCTACCAACTCACATGTATCAAGAACCCAATTACTAGAAAACAATGAAAAGGTCAGATTAAACAGAGCTTCTTTGCCCTACGGTGCAGCATCTGGTGAAAAAGGTTTATTCTTTGTATCGTTTAGTTATAGATTCCATTTTATTGAATTAAATTTACAATCAATGTTTGGAAAGCTCGATGGGCAACAAGATTTAGTATTGCGTGTTTCTGTTCCTGTTAGCGGTAGTATCTATTTTTGTCCCTCCAAAGAAGAGTTATTAAATATGTAATCTTTAAAACTAAAACTTTTTTTTTTTAGAAATAAAAAGAAAAAATAAAAATATAAATTTCTTTATTTTACAAATAATAAAACTTTATTTCTTTTTTTTTTTTTTAGTTTTGGATATTATAGAATGGTGTAGAGTAGTAGTTATTGTAATTAAAATTTCCATTATAGTTTGGTATATAGACATACATTGGACTAGTGTTGGTGTTATTACTGTTATCACTTATACTGGTATTTATATTATTATCAAAAGAAGTGTTATTAACATTTGGTAGCTGTTGTTGTTGTTGTTGTTGGGTTTGTTGTATTTGTAATAGCTGTTGGTTTATAATTGGAGATTGGTTTGTTGGGGTAGAGTTATTGGAGCTATATAAAAAGGTATCAAATGGGGTTGGTGGAATAAAATATTGAGATGGTGTGTATGGTTCAACAGTTTTATTTGATATTGAGCCTTTAAAGTTTTCATTAAATTGTTTAAATTCACTCTCGTTACCTTCTTCATCACTTTCTTCATTATCACTATTAATAGAATCATCACTACAGTTATTGGTTTCTATATGAGTGGAGTTGTTAAAGTTATTATAATCAATATTGATATTGTTAATATGATTTGTATTATTCATATTATTATTATTGTTAGTGTTATTATTATTGTTGTTAATATGATGATTATCATTATTGTGATTTTGATTAATAATCATATTATTATTATTGGTTTTATTTTCTTCTAACCTTTGCTTTTTACTTTTTCTATAATTCCAAGTTTTTCTTATTTTATTTTCTTGAAAGTTACCTTTGTGGCCATTTCCATTGGTTTTTGAAACCTTATTATATTTGTTTGATCTTTCTAAGACATTGTGTTTTAAAATGCTCTGAAAAAAAAAAAATTAAAAAAAAGTTTTTGAAAAAATTAATAAAAAATTAAAAAAATTAAAAATTAAAAAAAATAATTATACTTCTAATTTATATATAGCTCTAAATTTGTTAATTGATTTCCACATAGCTATAATGTTATTTTTATTTGACATTGGGAAAACTGAAAAATCACCAATAATTGATTCTAAATGATTAGAATCCAACTCCATACCTTTGAATTCTTCAGTACTTTTTAAGTCCAAAACTATCTTATTTTTCACTTCTTCAGATAGCTTATTAATTTTCCATTCTTGTAAAACTATCAAATAGCACATAAATGGAACCTGTGAGTTTGATAAATCATTTAAAATATTTGCTTCTGATTTTCTTTTCATTGTGTGGGTGTGCTAAAATAAAATAAAATAAATAAATAAATAAATAAATAAATAAATAAATAAATAAATAAATAAATAATAAATAAATAAATAAATATAATGAATTATGTTTTAATATTAATAAAAGTTGAGCTTTGATTTAATAATGTAAAAAAAAAAAAAAAAAAAAATTATAAAAAAAAAAAAATTATAAAAAAAAAATCCAATCATACACAAAAATCAAAAAAATATCATTAAAACATATGTTTTAATATATAATTAAATTGGTGTTTTTTATATACTAAAATACATATTTTTATAATATTATATTAAAAATATATCGTATAAAGCTATTGTATTACAATAGTTATTAATTTTATTTATTTTTTATCTCGAATTTAATCTAACGATATCATCTAGTTGTAATTCTTTTGCTAACTCGATCCTTAAATTCTTATCTATTATTACATTTTGAATAATGTTTCTAATATTTTGAATTTTGCCTGTTTTTGTATCAGTTTTATACTAAATTTAAAAAAAAAAAATTAGACATATATTCTTTTTTATTATAATATTATTAATAAATAGTGATATAACTTACTCTTTTAACTAAATCAATATATAAATTGTTTGAATATGAAAAATAGGAGATGTATTCATTTAGGTAACTAAGGTTACCATTAACTATAACTTGTAGGAACAAAACATTTATCCATTCAGAGTAAGCATTTAAATTATAAGCATTGGCAATAATTAAAGCCTCCTTAAAGAATGGTCTTTGAATTAGTATAGATTTGGCTTCGGCTGGTTTTAAGTTGATAATACGTTGTTCAGGAGATTTAATTTGAAGAGCAATAAGAGCACCCATAGAGATACATGATTGAGCGGTACGCTGTGAACGTTCTTTAGAGTAGTTATCAGCAGCATCTAAAAAGTCTTTCATTGATAATAGTAAATCTTGTTTATTTGAATTGGTATTTAAAGATTTACCATCTCTTCCAATGGATTCTAATCTGGTTTTGGCTTTTTGTTCGTGTGATAGTGCAATTTCTCTGTACATGTTGAAACGAAGGAATAACATTTCAAGTTTGTCGTGGTACAATGGTTGCTTCTTTAAGAGGAATGAATGAAGAGCAAGTTTTAAACCGTTTTGATCTTCGTGTTGATGGATTTTCTTTCTTAATAATAGTTCAAAGTTGTTATGTTGAAGAAGGATTTCTAAAATTGCTTGAAGTTCGTTATAACATTGCATACCAGTAACAAGACGTACTAATAATTTGTATTTGTTGGCTTCTGCATAATAGTTGATTCTAGATTTAACGATGTTTAATACCAAAATGGTACCATCAACACTACAAGCAACTACAAAACAAAAATGAGCACGTACAAATAGTTCGACTTCAGCATCCATACCGATTGGTGATGCTAGTTTATCAGGATTACCAATATTTCTATTGAGTGTTGGTGATACATAGCTGCCCATACCGCTATTGTTGCTAAACATTACTGGTGAGCTCTCCACTGAAAAGTACAAGTCATGGTTTATACGTGTTGCCTCAATTAATTTCATACCAAATGCAAATGGATCTCTACCAATTCTAATGTATTCGTGGAATTCTTCTGATGACCAATTTGGATCAATACCATTTAATGAAAATTGTTTTGTGGAATCATCAGATAATGATAATGATGACATTAATGAACCGCTTCCATATTGAGTAATGATAGTTTTGGCGAATAGTTCTGCTAAAATTTCATTGATTTTCATAATGTCTAAATGATTGGTATTGATGTACGATTTGATTAAACGGAAACAATCTTTTCCTAACAATAGTAATTGATTTAAAATATCGTATGGATTTGAAAGCAAGAGCTCTGAATAGCTAATCGATAGTTTTTCGGATACATTGAATTTGGTAATGATTGATTTAGCAGCTCTTTTGGTTAATTGGCAGCATGCAGAGAGGTTCTCTAAAACCAATAAAATATTTTCAGTTGTAATTTCAAAGCTTGTTGATAATGATTGGAACCATTTATTAAAATTAAAATCACGGTTTAGTTGGTCAAGTAAATCTGATGGGAAGCCGTTAGGGTTTGGTGATGTGGATCTATTTGCAATATTATACATCAATGATATGACGTCATATTCAAAAGATTTGTAATTAAATTGTTGAGCAATTTGTTCGGCTTGTGGCATTTGATCAGAATTTAATAATTTGGCAATTACATTATCTAAAGCTTTTGGTTCTAATTGAATAGATTTAATTGGTGAAATAAATGATAAACCATCCTTACTAAATGAACTTGATAATGGTCCACTAAAGTTATTGTTATTGTTATTGTTATTGTTATTGTTATTGTTGTTGTTGTTGTTGTTGTTGTTGTTGTTGTTGTTGTTATTTAAATTATTAATTAAATGAGATTGTAAATAATTATGGTTTTGTGGTGATGGTTGTTTTTTCTTATTATAATCTTTTAATGGTGATGATTCATTATCAGTTGGGGATGAGGATAATGATGAGGATGGGGATGCTATAGGTGATGTAAAATATGATAAAAGATTTTGACTACTTGTATTTTGTTTTGAATCTAATGAGTTTCTATTGGAACGTTCACGATAACGACGACGTAATTGTAATGGTGATGATGAGTAATCATCATCTTGACCATCATCATAATTGCCTTCATTATCGTCATTGTCTTTATTCATTATTTGATCTTCTTGATTCGATATACCAACAGATAACAATAATATTTGCTTTCTTAAATCATCAATAAAAGTTTGGGTGATGATTGATTTGGTTGGAGTTGCGGATATAGCATTACCATAGTTGAATGATTCGTGTAAAGCTTTTTCAAACCATTCTACAGCCAAAGACAATAAAAATACCTTTTCATTGCTTGGAGCTATATTATTACCACGATTATAAAATATTTCAGCAGCTATTCCAGGTTTACATTTATGTTGAATGAAATATTGTTGAGATTTCTTCCAAAGATTGATTCTTTCGGCTTCAATTTCCCAAAGGCAACCTTGTTGATAATGATTAATTAAAGATTCTACTTCAGCTACAGTTACAATATCTTTATCCAAATTATTCTCTTGAGAGTAGGTACGAGCCTCCTTGAAAAGACCTTTTTCTATTAAATGTTGAACAATAATTTTTGGATCCATATGAATGTTTTTATCTTGAATCATTGTTCTCTTTAGTAAATGAAGTGTAGAGTATAATGTTGAAAATGTATTTGATATTCCAGATCTATGAAGAATATCAATAAAATGTTCACGTTCGTACGATGAAAATAAATCTAACAATCCTTCAGAAAGTTCAACGACCATTTTCTTTACAGTTGATTTTGTTTGGAAATTTGGATGTTGTAATGATTGATCTGCTGACATACTATAGGAATCTAAATCTCTAATAAATACCTTTAAGCTTTCTTCAGATTCTTCAAATCTATATTGATAGAATTGGTTAATAAACTTGAAATAGTTTATTAAAATATTATTTGGTAAAAATATTTTGAAACCTTGTAACAATATAAAAGTTTTTCTATTTTGAATAATATATTGAATTGAGTTAATTAAATCATCCTGTATTGTTAAATAAAATAATTAGTATATATGTTTATATAAATTTCTATATCAAATAAAATAAAATTTAACTTACATTTGAATATTTTTTGATATTTGGTGCAACGTGGTGATCTAAAGAGATATTTAAAGCATCCAAGTCAAAATCAAAACTATCCTCGACTGTAACTTTACCAGAAAGGAATTTGGAAAGGTTTGGAGTTGAAACACATAACCATGTAACTAAGCATTCAATAGTTGAGCTATTGTTATTACTAGATGAATCATCGCTACCATCAGTATTTATACAGTTTGCAATTACAGCCAATAATGGTCTTTTGCTATTGGTTGCATTATATAAAAGATAGTTTCTTGGATTATTTGAACGGAATGAAGATAGTACAAAGCCAATGATATCATTATTTAGTTTTGATTCTTCAATTGGATAATATTTCATTGATAATTTTAATAGTTCAGATTGTTCAATAGCACTATTGGAGTTGGTATTGATATATTGTCTTTTTCTTTCATTTGAAATTTGTTCGATAACCAATAACAAGTGGGATCTTATACCATTATTTGAAATTTTAGTGTAAATGATATCTTTAATTTGTAAAAGTGGGAATTCTTGGATTTGAGCTTGGTAAATAAATTCTAACCAATTACCTTGACCAGCTAAATATTCAAGTTGTTTGGTAAGTTTTGGAATAGCATGGCATTGGCAGAATTTGGATAAAAGATACCAATTGTTGTTTAATAAAACATCTGATAATGGTTCGTCAACACTAATTGTGCTTTCAAAACGGCTGATGATTCTGTGAATTGCTGTAACTGGTGATGGAAATGGTGATACATTATCGTTTGCACTATTTGTAATTGTGGTTAATAAAGAATCTGGTGTGGGGTAAAGGGAAAGCAAAAGATTTATAGTTTCACATTGGAATTGATTAAATTGATTATATCCATCATATGATTCATTTAAAGAGTTGGTAGATGATAAAAGGCTGGGTGATGATAAATTTGGTGTGTTGGGTGCAGTGTTGGATGGATAGTCGAAAATACGTTGGATTATTGATACATCAGTTCTAATCATTGTTGCATATTCAAACATTTTGCAAAGATCCATTAATGATATGGCAGAGGATACAGAATTCTTTTGATTTATTCTCTTTATTGCAAATAATCTAATTAACCAACCAATAAGATTTCTTTGTTCTTTATTTGAGAATTGAATTTCACCATTTTCGTTGCTGGTTTTGCCATTAATCGAGTTTAATGATTTTAATAAAACATTATATGCTTTCATTGGACGTCCTTTTTCTAAATAATAAAATATATCTAAACGATCTAAATAACCTTCTTTAAATGATTGGGTGCTGAAATCACTTATGAGTAATTTTTGAGAGTCTTGTTCAATTGAGCCAAATAAATGTGATAAATTAAACATTGAGTTGCTGTCAATTAATTCTGATAAAGTAATATCTTGTTTTGATGATATAATATCACGTGGTTTAATTTTAGCTTGTTGTTCTTGTTTCTGTTGATTTTGCTTTGATAGGCTATCCAAGATTTTAAAAGTGGTTGGGTATTGCTTTCTAATTTTCATTAAAAGTTGTTTTGAATTGAGTTTCAATCCTTGATCTGTGATACCACATAATAAATCTTTAAATGTTGCAGGTGAATAAATCATGGCGGATAATGCAAGCAATGTTCTGTTTGGGAAGCTCTTTACTACACCATTAATAATTGAATAAAATGTGTTCAATTGATCTTGGATACTTGATGCTTTATCAAATTCTGATAAATTTATTACTTTTGGTATTACTAATTTAGGTTGGATAATATGGTGATCTTCATATGACTCTTCTTCGGCTTCGCTACTGCTTGTAAATTCATTGCTAGAATGAACAGGGTTATATTGAGAGTCTTGTTTTTGTTTATTAAGTATTGTTAATAGATTAACGAGATTTGATTTAACATAGTCAACTTTGGTGCGTGATTTGAATAATAGTAATAATTGGGTTTGTAAATCATCCTTAACAATATCAGAGTCAAAGTCGATATTTAATTTCTTTCTATCGTTGGAATTCTTAGCTAAACGGTAACAATCTAAATAGCTTGATAACAATAAATATAGTTTATTCTTGATTGAAAACTCAATAAAAAATTTGTGGAAATCGAGTTGCATTGGATCTTCATCAATACTATCTAGTCCTTGAATTGGCAATATTTGGTTTAATGGATATTGGTGTGATTTAAATGAGAATTTAATTGATTCATCTGTACTATTGCTGTTGTTGTTAATGCTTAATGCTTCATCTAAACGGAACTCTGGGAATAATAAATGATTATAGGCTAAACGTTTCATTAAAATATAATTTCTATCCTTTTGAACAATATATGAGTTGATATTTGTAATGTGAAACCATGGTAAAATTTCAATATCAGTTAAGAAGATTCTATTTCTTGCTAAGTGATTCATGAATAAATCTCTAACAAATGGTGTTGCTATCTTTAATGCACTAATAATTGAATTATATAATAATCTTTCTTCTTCATTATCTTCTTTTGATGTAGAGTCATTATTGATATCTTGATTTTGTTTTTTTAATTTTAAATTTTCAAATTTTGATAAAATTAAGTTTCTTAAATAATGAATGTCTTTGGAGTTTAATGAATTGATCCAATCTAAAATTGATTGATATTGATTATGAGAAATTGAATGGTATAGTTTTGAAATGGTATTTCTTTTATCGACTTGATATTTTTTATCCAATAATATACGCTCTTTGGTGTCAGTGGACCATTTTGATAACCAATTTAAAGTGTAATGAGAATAACCATCATTCGATGAAGCTAATGGACTATTTGGGTCATGATTACTGGTTAGTGAACTACTAAGTGAGTGAGTATTGGTGTTTGTTGGTGGTGGGTATAAAATAATACGATTACGATAGCCTGTAGGAGTTTGTGGTGAAACATTGGATGATGACATTGGAGAAACACCCCCTCTAAGGAAACCACTGCTATATACATTTGTTTGTTGCGATGAGACATTACCATGAGTAATCACTTGGAAACCATAATAGTGCTCAGTGTCTGGTAAAAAGTCATCGATCTCTTGGCAAAATACCTTAACATCATCATCAGTTAATAAATCGAATGGTACAATTGGGTTATTATTATAATATGGTTGCAATTGTTGTGATTGTTGTTGTTGTTGCTTCAACTGAATTTGATAATGTTGTTGTAGTTGACGCTGTTGTTGAATGAGTAATGGTGGTTTAGATTCGTTTAATGGTCTCCACTTGAAAGATAGCCTTGAGAACTCACGATGATAAGAGAAATTTGGATATAGAGAGTCCAATTTACTACGGAAATCAATTAGTTCTAAAATCTCTGGAGTAAAGAATGATGGATCTTTAACCATTGGGTGTGATACTAAAGCGTCTAACAAAAGATTTCTAATATTTCTACGAGTAGTGTTAAAAGCTAATTGTTTTAAATTTGGACTGACTGGCGAACCAATGGTTTTTAATAATTTAATGGCAACCTCTAATTGATCTTGGCTTACTGCTTGGTAAACAAAACATGATGATATTTTTTGAACATCATCAAAAGTAAATGGCCCAATGGGTGAGATGAATTTAAGTGATGATGAGGATGAAGTTTGTTGCAATTGGTACTGCTTAAGTGTATTTGAAATAGGTTGTTGGTATAATACACCCTTCTTTTCACGCTTCCAATTGATATAGGATATCAATGTTGAAAGATTTCCTGAATTTAATGATTCTTTAATAATCTCTAACTCCTCCATTCTTTCCCAACGATCCAATAAGCCAGATGGGAACCATGTTGACATATCATTCATTTGCTTTATCATTAAATCACCTGTTTGACCATTATATGGGTTACTATAAGAGTTTTGATGTTTTCTTTTTGGAACTAATAAATCTTGTTTTTCTTTTTGGAATAATCTAAGAGCTTCTAAAATTTTTGTAAACAATAGTAAATCTTGGATTGGTGTGGTTGGTTTTTGATCATTGTTATTAGCATTAGTTTGATCTGATAGTGATAATAAAGAATTTAATGTATAATAGGCTGAAGATTGATGTGAAGTTGATGGTGAAGATGCAGAAGATGCAGAGTCTAAATATACAGAACTGGTACCAATTGAACCTGAGACCATTATTTGTGCTGTTGATCCAATAATATTACCGCTACTTAATGGAGTTGTTAAAGTTTCTGTCCAATTAATATTATTAATATGATGATCGCTATCACTATTATTTTCATCATTTTGTTGTTGTTGCTGTTGATTATTTTGTTCTTTTAATGACTGATGTACCAATGATGCTCTATCTTTAATGATTAAACCAATAAAATTCATGGCTATGTGTAAAAGTTCATTTGTAAAAGATTCGTTGTGGACATTAGAATTTGCAGCATTTGCAGAATTCTCCAAAATGATATTGATTAATAAACGACTACCAATTAATTGTTGATCATAATCTAAACTACGTAAAGCTGGTTCAACAACATCCAATTGACGATACTTAAGACCTAGGTGTAAAGCATGAATTTTAAGATCCCTTTTGTTCCAGTGATTTAGAGAACATAAATGGTTAGCACTTTCTGCACCTTCCAACATAATTAAATTGTTTAAAATTAATTGTTGATTTGTATCAATTAAAATTGCTTGAATTCCATTTTCTGTAAAATAATAAAATGATTGATCCAATAATTTGATTGTCAATACTCTTTCACCTTCAATAACCTTAACTGATTTTCTATCGATTCTAATACGGTCAAATAAATAATATTCAGTTTTAAACTCTTTGAATTCTTCGTTACTGTTGCTGATATTATTGCCACTATCTTCACCATTAGTACTAGGTTTGCTTAAAATTTTATAATCTACTTGGTAAACTATTAATTTTGGTGTAATAAATAATTGGGTATTGATTGGTTTTTTATCTTGACTATTCATTGGTAAAACTGGTATTATTAAATTATAGGAGCTATCGTCTAATTGTTTTTGAAATTGTTGATAAATTTGTAAATTATTGTTACTATTGCTTTTAATAATTGATGATGTGTTTAAAACTTCACCATTATTATTACTTGTCATTTCTTTAAAGTTTGTCAAGTCATCTGAAATACTAGCAGATTTACTTAAAGATCTATTTAATACGAATGAGTTCTCCCTTGATAGTCTACCAGTTCCCAAGGATGATGAGGAATAAACACCAATTGATTGATTCATAAAATTACCACTGATGCTGAATCCATTAGATGGATATGATACTGACTTTTTTGGTACCCAATGAGCCAATTCACCAAATTCTAATTTATTATCATCCAGCTTTAATTTACTTTCGGTTGTTTCGTACCAGTGATATTGAAAAACTTCATTCTTATTATTAATATCTTCAGCATTTGAATATAATTCATCCTCAGAATCTTCCTCTTCGTCATATTCATCATCTGTATCGTTAATTAGTAAAGATTGTTGCTGTTGTTGTTGATGTTCTGAATCGGTATCTGTATTATCTTGATTACTATAACCACTATTCTCTGCACTAATATTGATTCTTTCTTTATTCAATTGTTCTTGTTGTTCTAACATATCTGATGAAATAAAAGCTGATGGGGAAAATATATCACATTCGTCGTCAATTTTATTTGTATTGCAATAATTGACCAAGTTGGAAGTTGTGAATATACGAGTTGGTGTATTTAAAAAACTAAAATCTAAGGAAAGGACATAAAGCTGATCGATTTGATTTCTTTTTATAACAATTGACATTAAATCGAATGGAATTGAAAAATCAGTAATCTCTAGCGATGCTGTAGTGCTCGTAATATCATAGTTTATAAAGCTTCTAGTTTGAATGATACCTCTCTTCTTTCCATTAATATTCCATATATCTAATTGACCATTAATTTTATTCATTACAAACAACCATTTATCGACGTATCTATATATATACTCCTTATTATTTTCACTTTCCTTACTAATATCTTTAAAAACTTCTCTTGTTGAATAACCTATAGATAAATTAAATCTTCTTTGAATAAAAAATATATAATTATAGTTATCAACTTGTTTAATCTTTAATAAAGCAATAATATTTCTCTGTACCAATAATATTAAATTTCCTTGATCATCACTTGATATAATTTCGATATCTTTATTAAAAAAATAAAATGTTAATAATAATTTTTTATTTTGAATAGATATTGATTTTTTTAATATAATATAAACTTACCAATTTCATTTTTATTTTGTGGAATATTTAAATTTAATTGTTCCAATATCTTTTCATATGGCAATATAAAATCGTGTAATAGATAGTTTTTAAAAGTTTTGATGACTGTAGATTGTGCTTGTTGTGAGACTGGTTGAATTATTGGTGATATAATACATAAAACTTTAGTTAGTTTAATATCATTGATTTTATTATTAACTGCTGAACTACTACTATTATTTAATGACTGTTGATTATTTCTTTCTGAAACTGGTGATTGGTTACCTGATGTGCTAAAGCTGCCACTATTATTTTGTTGTGTTAAATTTTTAAAAATTGATAATAAATGTAATGTTTTTTGATTTTTATCTAAAACTACTAAATGTGATGGTGTTATTGTATTATCATTATTTGTATTTGAATAAAGTGATACTAATTCTCTATGGATTTTAGGCGATACCCAACCATATTGATGCACACTCGAGATATTTTCAATTTCAATTCTATGTTCATTTTCTGATTGTTGCTGGTAAAATCTTAAAATTTGTAAATCCTTGTCTAAATATTCTTTATAAAAACCATAGTTGTGATGGCTGGAGCCATGGTGATATCCGCTATGTTGGTGACCTCCATTGTGATATTGTTGTTGCTGCTGACTATTATTTAAAACAGAGTTAAATAAAAATGCGGATGTCGAAGATGAAAAAGAGGAAGATGCTGAAATCGATGAAGATGGTGATGAGTTTGCACTATTATTATTGTTATTACTACTATTATATATGGATGTTAAAACTAACTTATTTGATTTTACTGTAAATGCAATATAGTTTAGGTCATTTGATAATTTGCAATCAATAGATTCCTTATTCTCTTTAAATAATTCGTAGTAATTGCTATTCCCTTTATATATACTAGAATGATTATCTTTTTTAAAATTTCTTAATATAACTGATAATGTTTCCATTCTGTTTTTTTTTATCTTGATTAGTTAATTGACTCAATTATTAATATATTTATATGATTTTTTAAAAAATTATAAAACAATTTATTTTATAGTTTATACTCCACACAACAATACTCTTTTTGTGTGGATTTATATAATACTGGTTGTTATTATTATTATTATTATTAATAAGACAATGAAAAATATATTTAATAAATACAACAAGTATACAATTGCGCTTTGTAACAAGCAAATTATTATAAAAAATTAAAAAATAAAAAATTTTATAAAAAATGAAAATTTTTTAAAAAAATCAAAAAAATATTTTTTATTTTTTTATTTTTTATTTTTATATTTTTAAATAATGAGTTATTAAGGGATTTGTTTTAACTATATTTGTTTAATCATTTTACAAATAATCCTTAATGAATAAATAAAAATAAAATAAAATAAAAAAAAATTAAAAAATTAAAAAATTCGATTTTTATGTGAACTAGATTCAAATTTATAAATATTTTTTTTTTTATCAAATTAATTTCTTTATTTGTTTAATCTAATTCCTTTTTTATGATTAATATTTTGTTTAATATTAACCCTTTTCAAAAGAGGACACCAGTTTTTTTTTTTTTTTTTTTTTTTTTTTTTTTTTTTTTTAGTTTTTTTAAAAATATTATTTAATTTTATTTTTTTTATTTTTTCTTTTTAAAATTAATTATCCAAAAAATCTTTATTTAACTTTTCCGACATCTTATTTTTTTTTCTTTTACAATAATTTTTTTTCATAGTTTTGTAGTTTTATTTTATATGTAATAAAATTAAATAAAAAAAAATGAGATATATCATCATTTTTATTTTATTAAATTTAATTTTATTAACCACAGCTTTTACACATCACCACCATGATGGTGATAGTTCAAGCGATAGTGCCGACAATAGTGACAGCAATGGATATCCATCTTTCAAATCAGGTGATATTTTAATTACAGATCCATCAGCACTTTATCCATCCACAGTTTTCGAATTTACAACCGACGGAGACTCTGTATACAATTACTCAACACAATTAGAAAAAGTAATAGAATTAAAGTTTTACCACAATTTAAAAAATATTAATATTTATTTTAATCAATAACAAAATAAAATAAACCATTATAGGATCCTTCTACTACATGTTTTCCAGTTGATATAGGATTTTTAGATGATTCAACTTTATTATTATTAGATGGTTTTCAAGGTATTTTTTATTCATCAATGGATGGAAAAGTAAAGGGTATTTGGAATAACTTATCACCAAAAACTGCAAATCTACCAGGTTGTAGTCAAAGCAAATTAACAGTTGACAATGTCAATAATTTAATTTATGTTGCAAGTTCTAATTTGAATTGCGATTATAATTATGTTCCAGGTATTTTTGTTTTAAGTATGGTAAGTATGCATATGTAGATAGATGGATACTTTATATTCAATATTAATTGTTGTTTTGGTTTTTATAGGAAGGTAAATTGTTATATACACTCGAAAATAGTGAATTTAACACAACCACAGGTATTTATGGTGATAGCAATGGTAATATTTGGATTACAGACATCAATGAAATTTTTATTTATAATATCAATCAAAAAACATATAAAACCATTGACCCAATTGGCAAAGATAAGATTGCTTACAATGGTATCATTATTGAAAACAATGATGTATATGTTAGTGTTCCATCCTATCAAGGTGATATGATCGTTCAGTTAAATTTGGACGGTAGTTTGGTTAGAGCAATTAAAATGATTGGTTATTTCGATGGAACTACTTCAGGTTACCCAAGTTCTTTAGCATTAACAAAGAATCATATCTATGTCGAAGTACCATATGCTTCAAAAAAAGAAAAACCACCAGGTTCATCAAGCTCAGGATCAGACTCTGATTCATCTTTTGAAGGTTATTTCGAATTCGAGCTTAGTTCAAATTCACAAAAAGTAGATGTTGTTCAAGCTTACGAATTAGCAGATGGTTCATTCTACAAATCTTGGGGTGGTCATAGCTGCAAAGAAGAAAATATTTTATGTATCCCATATAGAGGTTTTGTTATAGTTCCATAGGGTTAAATAAAAATCCAATAAACAAAAATAAAGAGGTTCATTCTTTTTTTTTTTTTTTTATTAAGTATTATTTTTTAATTATTACACAAGTATTAAACAAAAATTTTATAAAGCGTTTTAATTTATTTTTATAGTTTATTATTATTTGTGATTCATAGATTCATTAGCTCCATCTTTGATGGGGCAAAATAATATGAACCTGACACTGGAGTGGTAAAAGCTAAAACTCTATCTTTTTTACCATCGAGTTTACCAAACATTGATTCTAGTTGTTTTTCTATATTGTGTAGACGAGTGGCATAGGCAATAAAGAAAAGACCATGGGGTTGTAATGTGGATGCAGTACCATAAGGAAGAGACTGTCTAATGATTTTAAGATCGACACCGTCCTCATTTAAATCGGTTCTGGACACATGGGAGTCCTCTGGACGTTTATCTTCAGGAATTTCCTCTGATTCCTTTTTAGTACGACCAATGGTATCTTCTTGATATTTTGTTGATTTATTATCCCAATTTTCTAAATGATGTTCCCAACGCTGAGTAAAAACATAGCTTCCAAACTCGTGTGGTTGTCCTGCAGGAACTAATCCAAATTTCGTTCTTAGTTCATCCCCCTCAGGGTTTTCTGTACCATCTACGAACCCGTCCAAACCACGTTCTTCGACCCTTCTAAATCCATGTACCTCTTGAGTTATCTTGAAAGTGTGACCAAAATTCTTTAGTGTATCTTGAGCAAGCATGAATGCAACATCAAAATGATCAGTTAATATATGACATAGCATATCACGCTGTGTTGTATTGGGTAGGTATTTAAGAGTATTGATTGATTTTAGTTCTGGTGGTTTTGAAATAGTTGTTATCTTTGGCCATATATCCGAACCAAATGCTAAAGCACCTCCCAACTTGGCATCTGGGTATTTCTTTTGAATTTCGTCTACTTCAATTTGAAATTTCTTTATTGCACTCTTAAACTGTATCATATCATTCTCTTCTTTAAATGACAAATTACCTTCCATATAAATTGCATACTTGCAATGCATTGGCAAAATAGTTGATTGTGCCATTTTATAAGATTTTCTAATTAAGCTATTAATTTTTAAATATATATATATACTATTATATAAAATAAATTTATAGGTATTTATTATTTATTAATTATTTAATTTTGAAATATAAAAAAATTAATTTTTTAATATTTTATTTTTTTAAATTTTTTAATTTGAAAAATTATTTATAATAAAAATATTATAAATAATCTTTATAAATTTTATAAGAAAATTAGATGGTATATATTAAAAAGAAATGAAATTAAATGAAAATAAAAAAAATAAAAATAAAAAAAAATTAATTTCAAAAATTAAATAAAAAATTTTTTTTTTTTGTAGATTGGTGGTGAATTCAAATAAGCTGGTAAAAAATAGATCTCTGAAAATTTATTTAAAATATATATTTTTTATTAATCATTATTGTTATAAAGTTTTTTAATTAATAAATAATATAAATGACCTTTATCTAAAATTTTTAAAATATTTAAAAATTGTGTTACATTTAATTGATTTAAAAATTCTGTATTTGTGCTGTGAGTGTAAATATATTGGAGAGATTTTGGTAAATTTTCATCAATTGGTTGTTTAATTGTGCAATTACCCCACACTATTAAATGTTTGAGCGAGTTTGGTAGTGATTCTGCGGATATTTCTTGATTGTTTATTTCGGTTTCTAATATGGTTATTGATTCTGGAAGAGATTGCTTTGTTAGTTGATGTGACTGAAATCCTCTACCTAATCTAAGTACTTTTAATGTAGATGGGAGCGATGAAGGTGTGATGGGCTTATTAAAATCAAAGCCAAAACTAAGATACTCAAGTGAGTTTGGAAAGGTTTCATTTGAAATGGGTTGGTTGTATACATTTAATTTGAGTTTTTTTAGATTGGGTGGAAGTTGGTTCTTGTTAAGAAGACTATTAAAACAAAAGCCAAATTTCATTGAGGTTATGGTCTTATTTGAGGACAGAAACTCTTTCATTTTGGGTGTGATCGTTTTGATGTCATCCAAAAGGTTCAATGTTGATAAAGTGTTCGGGAGGAGAAGGCCTTGGTTTTTATTTCTTGAATAAAATTCACAAATTAAAGTGAATGAGGCGTTACCGATTACCAACTTGCGTAAAGTAGATGGTACATTTAAATAGTTTGGGAGTTCATCTACTCCAATTTGTTTACAAAATTCTTGGCCATATTTAAGCTTTTTGCAACTACTTGGTAGGGCTCCGATGGGCACTCTTTGATTAAACAACTCACCAAATGAAAGAGATGTGATGTTTGGTAATACTCTTGGTTTGATCTTTTTATTGAAACTTTTACCAAATTTAATAAGCCGTATGCTGGATGGTAAGGAGTTGTCAATAATTTTGTTATTAAAGTGTTTTGAAAACTCTAGATGCACAAGGTTGGTATTTTTTATTAAGGTATCTTTTTTAAGTTCTCCGTTGCCATATACCAGCTTGGTGAGCGACTGGGGAAGACCTGATGGTGTATGAGAATAATGAGGGCCCAAAATAAGAGTTTTAAGAGACTTTAGACTTGACAGCGATTGCTTAGGAATCGGACATGAAAACTTGGGGCCTAAATCTAAACTTGTTAAATTGCCAGTCAAAACCTTTTGGAAACTAAAACTTGAATTAAAAAAGCCACCAAAACTTAAACTTGTAAGAGAACTCGGTAATGAGTTGTCTGAAACTACCAGATTTGAAATGGAGCTTATAAAAGACAGAGACTTTAGTTCTTTGCAGTTGCAAAAATGATCTTTTTGAATACTTGGATCGCTTACAAAGATTAAAAAATTCAATGATGTTAGACTTGATGGGAAAAAGTCATTCTTTTTTAGCTGGTAGTAATGGAACAGCGTTTTGACACCCTCTGGTATAATGCTATCAAGTGAACTATCCTCTGAGCTGACCTCTTCCAAAAGCACAGAGTATAAATAGTCACGATATTTAAACTCTAATAACTCTGCATTTGTTTTGAATACTCTTTTGTGAAAATGTAAATTAAATAATTTTAAATGATAAAATATAATTTTTTTAATGTATATATTTCTATATAGTTTAAAAAACAATGTGGTGTTATCATTATTATCATTTGTGGTTATGGTAGTAGTTGTAGTTGTAGTTGTAGTTGTATTATCATTATTATCATTTGTGGTCGTAGTAGTTGTGTTGTTGTTGGATGAGTAATTATTGGTTTTTTTAAATCTATTATTATTCTCTATCAAAACTACAAAATCGTCTATTAATTCTTTTCCTATATTAAAGTTATTTAGCTGATCTATATTTATTGTGTCATTATTTACGCTGATATTATCTAATAGTTTTATTTCATTTGCCAAAAACTCGAGCTGGTTATCATCCAAATCTAAATTCGATTTCCTTTTTTTATTACTATTGATACTAGAGTCTATTTGTTGATTTCTATTAAAAAATATATTATTAATATTTGATTAATTTTAATTATTATTTATTTATATTATCAAAAAAACTAACAAATTACTTAAAACTTCAAATAATGAATTTTTGGATATAAATATATTGTTGTTTGAAAACTTTAAAAGTATTTTAATAATTTTAGTACATTGTGTACTATTTAAGACCCATTCTACCAAATGTCTTTCCATCGAACATAATTTTTTTTTTTTTGTTATTTCTATTTATAAAAAAAAAATTTTTTTTTAAATTTTGTGATAAATTTTTTTTTTTTTTAAATTTTGTGATAAATTTTTTTTTTTTTTTTTTTTATCAAACAATTAAAAATTTTTGTAAAATTGTAAAATAGTAATAATAAAAATAATAAAAAAATAATTATAATGGGTTTTATTTTAAAAAGTTCAAATATTTATAGAACATATAAATATTTTAATAAAAGAAAAAAAAAACTAATAATAGAGTTTCATTTTTGTGAATTTTTGTGATCAAAAAAAAATTAATCAAGATTTTGTTTTCCAAAAAAAAAAAAATTTTCTTTTTTTTTTTTTTAAAAAAAAAAAAAAACAAACATATAAATTTTTACTTTGAATTTTTTAAGTATGTAAATAATTTAAAAAAAAAAAAAAAAACCTTTATTTTAAAATTATTAATATTTATCTATAAATTTATAGATTGCAAAGATGAATGTTTATGACAGGAACCAAGACCTCCTTGTTCAAAATATAAAACTTTTTTTGAATGATGCTTACTATCACAGAATTAAAATCCAATTAAATAAAATATCCCCCAGCCAAAATAAAAATATTAATGATGATATAAAAGAAATAATAGATAAAATTAAATCTCCCTATCAACTATTAAATCTAAGTAGCGATAATAAATTCACATTTTTAAATCTTCCCAGCACCGATCATCATATATTTATACCAATTCAAACAAATTTAGAATATATTTATAAAATCATTCAAAACATTAAAAATAAAATTGATAATAAAGAAACTGAAAAAATATTGGTAAGGCTCTATCAAGAGTACTCAAACCAACATCAGTTATTTATAAATAGATTGGTAGAGAGTATAAAAAACTCGGCAAAGAATATCCCAACCAGTATTTTAAAACAACCTCCATTATTTTACACAGAAGATTTACAATACAACGAAACTAAATCTCATGATCTGGCCAACGAAATTTTATCGTACGACCCAACAGAGTTTCAATTTAGAAGAAAAAATGAAAATCAGGCAGGTCTTTCTGTTGGTAGTATCTTAGACAATGTTTATTTTAAGGTAGAGACTGGTGCAAGGCTTCTAAAACCCGCTAGAGAACATGCCATTTATCAAATTTATAAAAATCTATTTCCAAAGTCAACAACATCTTTCGTTTCACCAACTCAGCTGGTAATAGTTGACCAGTTTAAAATGGTCTCAGAAAACTTTACAAGAAATCTTGGTAAATTGAAAACAAAATATGACACCTATTTAATCGAAAAAGTATTAGAGTTTGAACCAGAGTTCAGAAAAGAAATAAAAAAGGCCCTGTATAATGATCAAAATGTTTTTGTTCAAGCTTCGTTGTTGGTAAATGGAATTACATTCAAAGAATATTTAGAAAATATCGAAAGTAAAGGCAAGGAATCCCAATTTGAGGAAATTAATCTAGAAAGCTTTAGCTCGCATATTTTATCAAGCCTGTTAGTTTTGCCAACAGACTATAAACCTGACAATCTAATATTGGAAAATGGAACCAATTGCATCATTGGTATCGATAATGATGATTCATTAGAAGCTAGTGAAATAGAAAGGATAAAAGGGGATTTTAATATTCGCTTTAAGAATATTCTTTATACCCTTAAACCATTAATGTCGAAAGAAATTGACCAAAAAGCAAGAGACCAATTCCTAGAGAACAACCCATCACTATTCATATTAAAATGGTTATTGCAGCTAATTTCAAAACAATCAAACTACGACTCATTAATTCTAAAACTATTTGAATCAGTAAAATATTTCAATGATGAAGTTGGGAAACAAAGAGGTTTAAATTATAAAAAACAAAATATAAATTTACCAATACAATTCAAAAAAGGATGGATAACTTTAATGTATCAAAGATTTAAAATAATTAAAAACAACTTGGAAACAAATCAAAATACAACTCATCAAAGTTTATTCAATCAAATACACCCATTATCAAGTAAATACTATGAACTTTTATCAAAAAAAAAGACAAGTCCATTGGATATAATTTCTGTACTTTATAGACATCAATACGATTATCCGTTTAAAGTTTTGATGGAGGAATTTGAAGATTCCGAAACAATTCTAAAGTTCAAAGAGATAATTGAAAATACCGTCGAACTAAACGAAGATGTCTCAACTTTGGATACTCTCAAAGAACTTATATTTGGTACCGACTATTTGGATTTATTAGAATGTAATAATCTCTGCAGCAAAAATTGCAGTAGCTCATGCAAAACTAGAAATATATTAATCGAATGGTTAGATAATATATTCACAAATATAGGTTGTAAAGAAATTTCTTTTAATCAATCATGGCATGAAAATAAAAATTCAATTTTATCAAGATTATTAAAATATGGAATACCAGTATATATTATCCGAAACTATTGTAAACACTTCAATATTACATTTAATAACCAAGACTATCATTCAATATTAAATCATAATGAAATATTAAATAATTCAAATATTTGTAATCAAATTGTATTTATGGTTGATGAATTAAATTTAGATATCGAAAGAAGAGAAAATAGAAACACACTGCTGGATTTAGCATCAAAAAATAATAGTTTTAAATTGTTCACAAAACTTGTATCTATGGGTGCTGGAAAAAAATCAAATCCATCAGAAATTAGTAAATTCTATAAAACACTATCAAACGAGCAAAAACAAATTTTGAAACCATTTTTAATCAATTTATTTATTACCAACCCAAAAATTAACTGGAGAATAGCACTTGATCAATTATTCCCTTATCAAAAATCACCTGATTCAAATAATAAAAGACTACTATCTGAAGTCAGAGATTCAACTAAAAGAATTATTTCCGAAACATTTTGGGCCAAGTTGTTTGATAAAAATGGTGAACCCAATAAATCAAATGCATATGGTACAAGAGCAGTTACTCTCATTGAAGATGAATTTGGAAATGGTATTTATTTCAAATTTAAACCACAGTTTCCAGGTATAGAAATAGCAGTAAACAAATTTTCTGAAAAACTATTTGGCTACAACTTGACACCAAACTGCGAACTAGCATCAGTTAATAATATACCAGTATTATTAACTCAACAAATTCCAGGTATACCTTTGGTTGATATTTTAGAACATAGACCGTGGGATATTAATCTTATAGATCCATCAAATATTTCAAAGCTACTAGTAATGGCAATGTTAGTGAATAATGCAGATGGAAATTTAGGAAATTATATTGTAGTACCAACCAATAATATCAATAACAAAACGTTTAAATACAACATTTATTCCATTGATAATGACCAATCATTTATGCCATCAGTATCTAAATCAATTAGTTTTTTCGAAAAATCAATACAGGCCGATACAGTATTATTTTTATTTTACCAAATGAAACATATTGTCCATAAAGATGTTGTAGATTGCTTTAAAAAAATAGATATTTATTGTGCCCTTAAAGAATGGTTAGAAAGCTTAATACATCCATATCGTTCATCCATCGATTCTTTAAAATATAATAAAAGCCAAATAAAAATCGAAAAGCAAACTTTTATCGGTATTTCTTTTAGTGAAGGTGTGATAATTCAACTACATACTAAGCTACAACATTTACGACACATATTTAATAAGAAATCGGCAAACTCTATTACCCATTTTGAAATCTTAGAAATATTAGAACCATTAATTGCAAATAGATATGAACCATATTTAAAATTAGACATCCCAATTAACGAAAAATATTCAAAGTTAAAAAAAGTGGAATATTCAAAAACAGTATTAGCAAGCTCCAAACATTCATTAGCATTGATAATGCAGTCTAATGATATTCCAAATGATATCCTAAGTCAAATATGGAAAGATAACCAAAATACTTATGGTCCAGAAAAAGCATTGGGGGAACTAGCTTCGTTAAACAACCAATTTAATAATCTACATCAACTAATAGATAGGATTAAAGAAAGCAACAAGAAAAAGTTTGTTATTTCAAACTACGATTTAGAATGTTTATTAAAGGCAGATTTTTTCAATATTAACAAAAGCCAGCAAAATATCATTTTCGATTTTTTAATTTCAAAAAAACTATCAGTTATCAATTTGAGAAATAGCGACTACATAGATATCAATACATTCAGAAATTTCTATTTAGACTCCATCGTCAAAATTGATTTATCAGGTTGTAAAAATTTAAATAGTTTTGATTCCACTTCTTCCAAAATTTCCTTTAAATCATTAAAAAAAATAACACTTAATAATTGCATACAACTTTCAAATATTAGAATTAAATCACCAACTCTATTAGTCTTAAATGCCATAAACTGCAAATCTCTAAAGCAATTCGATTTAGAATCACCAAATTTACAAAATTTAAATTTAAAAGGTTCCATTTCAAAAGATCGAATTGATATCGAAACTTTTGACCGCTTTACGAATTTAAAATATTTAAATATTTCTGAATCAGATTACGTCATAATATTAATTAACGGATCAAAACTAAAGTCATTAGATATTAGCTCAATGAAAAAATTAGAAATAGCAATTTTAAAGGTTGAATCTATCGAGTCTATATATTTTGAAGAGTGCAACTCATTAAAGGAAATCAAAGGTTTCAAGGGATTCTATTACCAAAATTTAAACTTATGGAATTTATTAAAGAAAGATAAATACAAAACATTCATCAACAAAAACAATATTTTTATTAACTTAATGGATTTAAGAGAAATTAAAATACGGGACTCTGCTTTTCCATACAAATCGATAGTTTTTCTTTTTAGTGGATGCAATACACTACCTTTGGCAAATTTAGATTGTGGTTACTATTTAAGATTAATAGATTCATTCCCAAATTTTAAAGCAAATTTTCCACTTGCATCTACCCTATTAATTAGTGATGGTTATAAAGGAAAGATTACAGCTGCGCAACTACCCTCAGATCTCGAAACTTTGTTTTTAGGTGATATAGAACAGCCTTTATCAGAATCGATTCCAAATTTATTACATATTTACTTTGGTGACGGATACCGTCATAAAATAGAACCAGATGTAATAGGCAGAGAAACTCAAGTTATTTCATTAAATAATGTAAAGCAACCATTTGAATACCTAAACCTTATAAATTCTGGTGGTTTCGATATAATTAAATTTTATGAAACTTTTAACCAAACTATGGAAATCCATTCAAAACTATACAGAAATCCAATTCTGGAAAAACCAGGAACTATATCCATTTTTGATTACGAAACCAATCCAAGAGCACCTTCTGAATTAGGTAGTATAAACTCTTTAGCAGAAACTAGCAGAAATCAACCTCAATTTTTAAAATTTATCATAAACAACTATCCAAAACTATTATTAAATATTAAAGAAATATATAGTTATAATTTATCATTCACCTTTGACTATAAACACAATTATGAATATGGTATTATTAGTCATCATTCCCTGTCAGATAACAATAAAGAGACAAAGAAAAAAGGGGCTACACAAAATATAGAACTTTCATATTGCCGTGATGAAGGAAACCAATCCAGTGACACCAGATTAAATATTATTACATTTGGTTTAGAGCTTTTTAAAAGAAACTTACCAAACTCAGTTAAAGAATTGTGTATTAATAGCGTTAAACCATTCCCGCTAAATGATGACTCCATTCCACCAATTAAACTATTAGAATTAAGAGGCAAGTTTCTAAATATTCAAGTGAAATCAACTTTAATAAAGGAGATGTTTATCTCAAATGGTATAATAGAACCACTAAGCCCAACATCCATCCCACCATCTGTTACTACTCTCGAAATTGAAGATGAATTCCCTCACATAATTGAATCGAACTCTATTCCCGAATCAGTTACTGAATTGTATTGCAGTAAGCTTTGTTGTAATTCAATACCTAAAAGCGTTACCAAACTTAATATTATTACTGCAAATCTAAAGATTAAGAATCTTTTAACCAATTCAATAACAGAGCTTTATATTGGTGACATAGAACAAAACAAAATACCCAAAGATTATTTACCATCTTCAGTTAGCAAACTTATTTTAGGCAACGGTAACCAAGTAAATGATATTTTTGAAGAAGGTGTGGACATAAGCTTTGTAAAAGAATTAGTATATCTTAAAGGAATAAAAAAAAGAGAAAGTTCTTTCTATTAAATAAAAAAAACTTTTGAAATTATGAATAGATTTTGGTAAAGTTATTTTAAATATTTTATATAAAATAAAAAAATTTATTTAATATCTTAACAATTAACAAAAAAAAAACTTTAATAATAAAGCTTTTATTTTACTATAAATACATATTCTATATATATATATATTATAAATTAATTTTATTTATAATTCTTTTATAACTATTATTTGATATATAGCTTAAACTATATACTTTTAATAAAGTTAAAAACTTTTTAATCTTTTGTTCAGATTTAAATCTATTAATAAAACTATTGTTATTACCATGAGTTATTACAGCTTTAATATTACTTGGTAATGATTTAATTTGAGGATTTCCCAATACTATAAGGTATTTTAAATTACTAGGTAACCATTCTACCGATAAATCTTGTTGAATACCGGCCCCGAGTTGAAGAACCTCCAATGATTCTGGTAAGTTGTTTTTGTTGAAAACATAATCGAAAATACTATTATTATTAACTATTAAAGTTTTAAGTTTTTTAGGTAATTGAGCTAAATCTAATGTTGAATTAAAGTTTTTTCCTAAAACCAGATTTTCAATATTTGAATTTGATAAACTGTTTCCTAATGTTTGTGTGAAATAATTTCCAAACTCTATACTTTTTACTGTGCTTGGGAATACATCAGCGGATAACGGCAAATCACCATTGTTAAAAGATAATAAAAACTGTATTGATTCTAATTGTTTCATTGAGTCAAAGCAACCAGGTATTAAAGTTTGATTAAAGCCACTATTAATTTTTAGATGCACAATTGATGGGGGAAACAAAGATGGTTCTAGAGGTTTGTTAAAACAATTTTCTATTTTCAAAGTTTTAATTGATGGTGGTATTAAACTTGGTGAAATAAAATCTACTACAACTAACTCTTCTAAACCTAATGGAAAAGAATCTTCATCTATTAATTCTTGACCCAATGATTGGCAATAGTTTTTATTTAGAACTAAAGATTTTAATGTTGTTGGTAAGTAATTCTTTTTTAATGGTTGTTTAAATTGACCGGAGTACTCTATCCTGGTAATATTATCTTTTGTTAAAAGTTTAGGGATGTTCCAATCTTGACCAAATTCTAGCTGCTCCAATACAGGTAACGATATTGAATTACTGAATAATTGCTTATCGAAATCTTTTCCTACATACAAACTCTTAATTGACTGTGGTAGTAAATTTAACTGCTTATTGAAACATGTTGATAACTTTAGTGTCTCCAACCCGGCTGGTAAAGATCCTTTTAAAAATTCCTTATTATATTTATTTCCGAGATCTAAGTACCTTATTTTTGATGGTATTAAGCCAGGGACTAAGGTGAAATTAAATCGATTACTAAACTTTAAGTGTGTCAAATTTGGAGGAAGAGCACCTGCTTTGATTTCATTTTCATTTTTGTAACCCATATCTAAATACTCTAATGATTTTGGCAATACTGATGGTGAATCTATTTTTTGATTATAATTATGTCCCATAATTAACTTTTTTAAATTTGATGGTAATGAATTTTCTTTAAACTCCTGATTGTAATTGAACCCAAATTCTATAGATACTAAAGACTCTGGTAATGAAAAAGGAATTATCTCTTGATTAAATTTATCGTTAAATTTAATACTCTTTAAATATCTACATGCGGCGAATGTTGATTTTTCTATTTGGAAATTAAATTCATCATCTCCAAATTCTAAATGTTTAATTTTGGGTGGTAATAATGATGATAGTATTGGAATATGATGTTCTTTGATATTTATGATTTTAATTGAATTTAAATACTCTTTAAATTCAAAAGATTGTATTTCCTCTACATCAAATGATCTTTGATTGTAGTGTAAATTATATAATACTATTTGATTAACTATTAAATTTAACAAATAAGAATTCCTCCATATTTTGAAAAATAATTCATCGTTTGATGACATATTCTATATACTATTTTAAATATAAATATTAGTATTAGGGAAAATTATTAAAAAATTAAATAAAATAAAATTAAAAATAGAAATATAATTAAATTTTATTAAAATTAATTATATTATAAAAAGAAAAAAAGAAATAAATTTATTAATACCTTTTTTTTACAAAATACAATTTTTATAATTTAATTTTTACTTTTTAATATTTTAATATTTTTTTATTTATTTTTGAAACAAAAAAATTATAATGATAGTTAACAAAATGAAATTAATTAATAACAAAAAAATATAAATATATTTATAATTTCATTACAAAAAAAAAAAAAAAAAAAAAAAAACTGTTGTAATATTATTTAAAAATCATTATTACTACTATTGTTATTATTATTATTTATAAAAGATTAAAAATTTTAAATATTATTTTGAAAAGTATTATAACCTTTTATTTAATTAAATTAAAATGTGTATTTATTCCTTTTAAATATATATATAATTAATTAACTAAAAACAATACTGATCCTTAAAGATTAAATGAAAAATAACAAAAATAAAAAATTAAAAAAAATAACAAACATTGGATATAGAATAATTATAATGTATGTTGTATTTTTTTAATTTATTTGTTAATTATTTAATATGTAATGGTATTGTTATTAACGTTAAACGATAAAAAAAATAATATACTAAAATTCAAATATTTGATTTTTACAAAATTAATACCAAAAAAATAATTACCTTTTAAATTAGTGTGTGTATTGTGTTATATTGCTGTTCATCTATAATAAATATTATAAGGGGGAAAAATAAAAAATTATTTTTTAAAAAAAAAAAAATAATAAAAAAATAATGTTGCTATGTGTGTTGGGTATAAAAATAAATAAACAATCTAAAAATGAAATTGTGTGTGTATGTGTGTGTGTGTGTGTTTTGGAGTGTTAATTTTAAATTATATTTTCAAACAAATTATGCATAATGTATATTAAATATATTATAAATTTTTATTATATTTGTATATTGTTATTTTTTTTAGCTTTATTCTTTTTTTTTTATATTGATTATTTTTTATGTTTTTCTTTCCCAAATTGATGATATAGTATTTAAATAAAAATAAAGATATCTTTATTTATTGTCAATGAATTATAAAATGATGTTTAAAAATTATTATTTATCATTTATATAACTCTTAATATATCGACATATTGGTGGATATTATGTATATTTAAAAATGAATCATTTGTACCGTTAACAACCAACTCTTTAAATTGCATAGGTTCGTTTGGATCTAATATTGAGTTTGATTGATTATCACCAATATATAAACTTTGTATATTTGGTAATGATAATTCCATAGAGTTATGATTTAAAGGTATAGTGAATGTTTGAAAATTTGTTAGCCTTAATGCTTTTAGAGTGGTTGAAACTGGTTCTAAAAATCTCTTGAAAAAATCTGGTGTATTGTGAATAATTTGTAAATTTGATGTTGGAGTAAATACTAAATTCTCTAGAACTGGAAA